TGTCTCTGATCAATAGCAATAAAAAATATAGCTATTTTTTCCTTGGCATCAAATATCAGTAGATGTATATAAAAAGTAAAGAGTTTTAAAACTATTTTAACCTTACCAAATGCAATAAGGAGGTGCAAAGTTAATCTAACAGAAGCTCTAACAATGAAGGAGAAAATGATGTCTTTCCATTATAAACAATGCATATGTTTTCTGTGCAGTTTATTGAAAAAGAACATCAAAATCAAGATCAGATTTACTAAAATAAAATAATACTGCTTTGGATAAGAGAAGGATTTTCTATTCTTCATGGGTGAAGTAAGCAGTTGTATATTGTGATTACTGTTTTTTTTATCCTGTTTGTTGTGAGTTTTGGATATGAATGTTTTACCCCTTTTAATTTACACCCCAAGTATTTTGACTTTGACCTTGAACTGATTTATGACCATTGGAATTAGGAGATGGATTCAACAAAATCAAATTTAAATTCTGGCTGAGATAGTTTATATGTTCTGTATTAATGACCTTAGAAATATGTCCACTTTTGAAACAGGTCACCAATATGACTTTCCAAAAGGAGTGGGCAGACCTGTTCAAAGCTTTATCATTAAGAGTTAAACAGCTTTCCAGGTTTGTGTTGAAACTCTAACAGAAGCCATATTGAATAAATTATTTGTTTTTCATATTATGATTTTTATTAATATCCTTTTATTTTATTAATAGGCTGATTTATGAATAATGTGAGTTTTGAAGGTCACAGAAATTTTGTTTCCCCACCCTAGGGATAATTTTTTTTAAATACAATATACTATATGACAACTTTAACATCAGTGAAATTTATCTTAAAACTTAAAACTCAGATACTGCTATTAAAGATTTATGAACTTGATTCTAAACAATGATTTTCAATCTATTTTCTACTAGTTGGAATATTAGTAAAAAAAAAAGTATCATATGATAAGAACAACTGTCTCAAAAAAACTTTATCTAAGAAATGTGGAGAAAGAATAAAAGCAAAAAATAACATTTACATTTTTAAAAGAACAAAAAATGCCTTTCTTTCTTGACAATACAAATATAATTCATTAGTTCTTTCAGTTCAAGTTATTAAATTATACATCGAGAGATAAGAGTATTTTTACATAATATATGTTGATTTAAATTTTATCGATGTTTCTTCAAGAAAACAAAATATATTCTCATTGTATCCTGATAACACTAATTCTAGACCAAAAAATATCTTTTCTTTTCAAATATATAGTGAATTTTAATTCTTTTTATAGGGAAAGTTTAGCTGCTGCACTTATGAGCAAAAATAAAGAAATTTAGAAAATATAAAATGAGAAAATATATAAAAGTATGAAAGACTATATGATAATAAAAATAGAATAATATAAGATATAAAAGTCTATATATAATAAAAATAGAATGATATAATATGTAAAATGCTACATGATTAAAAAATAGAATGATAAAAAATATAAAAGATATATAATGATAAAAATAGAATAATATACAAAATAAAAGGTATATGATAAAAAAGAATAATATAAAACCTAAAAGGTGTATAATGATACAAATAGAATAATATACAATATGAGAGCTATATAATAATACAAATAGAATAATATAAAATATAAAATATATTGTCATGAAAATGTCTCATCAATGTCATGTGTCATGCAAAGTTGGCTGTTGTTTGGTCAATTTAACAACACCTCAACACTTGTTGAATTATTTAATGCTGAATATAACTTTTATAGGAAAAGCCACAATGAAAAGTAGATATAGGTCTGGTTTATACTTAAGTAAAATTATAGAAATTGGTTCAGTTTATACTCGAGACAAAAGAAAGACATTGGTCTGATTTATACTTGAGTCAAAAATCATACAAAGGTTAGTTAGTATTCAAAGTTAGAATTCCAGTTTATAATGGATATTGCTAGCATCTATCTGAAAATATAGACATTGCTCCTTGTTGTAACCTAGGGAAGGTTACTGAATAGAATAATTGCACAAAGATTGGTAATGAATGATAATACTTAGGACAAGAACAACACATATAAGATTCGCAAGCGGCACATAGAAGTAGTAGTCAACTTCTAGAAGTGAGTCAAGTGAATTCCACAATGAATCTCCAACTGCAGACCAACATACAGTATTTACTACTGTATTTATGTGAATGGGGCCATACCCATTATTATCCATATGTATGCTACAACAGTCCTGTTTCTACCTGAATCCAAACGTAGCCATAGGTCCAGTTTATATTGGAGAGTACTAGCATCTACCTGAAAATATAGACATTGGGTCAGCTTATACATGACGCTACTAGCCCCTACCTGAAAAGTAGTCTCTCTTACTCATGCTGCAAGGGATGTAGTCAGTCTATTTTAAGGCTCACCAACTCCTACGTTTTTAGTTGTAGATTTTTGTGGGAATTATTATTCCCAACTATTACTGTTGGAATTTTTAAAGATAAATTCGTAAATTATATTGAGACAGAGTCACATGGTTATTATGCCTGAATGTCAAGACTGATGTTACTGCAATTCCGGCTATCTAACACAGAAACAAGATTGCCACTCCTTTTTAAACACTTCTAAAAGTAATACTCATTGTTCTGCTGGTAGTCTTGTGTCATGTCTACTTTTGGAATTAAGTATGGCATAATGATTTTAAACTTCCACTAGACTCCAAAATACAATAAATTCCTTCTCATTTGAATACAGAATAGGGAGAGGCCAAACAATAAACAGGGTTTCTTTTTCAGCTAAAAAGGAATAGTTTCTTCATTGGTCAAACAAGAAATCATATGTTTATGGGGTTAAACAAGGAATAGCCTTTCTCCCATCATTAAATAAAGGGTATAGTTTCTTCTTTGGTCAATCAAGGGATATAGTTTGTTTTTTTGTTTTTTTTGGTCATACAAATAACCTATTAAAATAAAATAGTTCTGGTCTCAATTGGGCATAAAGGGTGTTTCATTAAGACGGATCAAAGTCAGCAGTAAATAAATCAGTGTTATTAGTGAAAATTTATTTATTTCTCTATTGGATCATGTTATTTAAGTCATGGCAATTATGTGTAAAAAAATAATATTGCCCAAATGTCCACCAAGACTTCGGTGGCACACCTCCCCTTGATGTTCAAAATTTTGGATGTCTCTGCATAGTAGCTCCTCAATCATACCAATACACCTTATTATCTCATCCTTCAGCTGTTGAATTGTTGTTGACTTGTTGGAATAGACCTTACTTTTGAGATCACCCCAAAGGAAGAAATCTAAAAACATCAAGTTGCATGATTGTGGTGGCCAATTGACTTTGCTGTTTCGAGAGATGATGCAACCTGGGAACTTCTCATTCAAATTCTGTTTTAACGTCCATTTTTGTAATAAGCTTCAATAACTTTAACATGTTGTTTGATTGTTAATTTTTCCTTGGTTGAAATTGCCAAAGACTTAAGTTGTTAAATGTGAAAGAAAAAGAAAAAAATCAATAGACTCTTAAATTTAATTCACATTTAAAATTGGTCCAAGTTATTGGAACACCCTTTACAATAGAGAGTCACTGCGAGGTGAAACAAGGAATTAAGCTTCTTCTTTGATCAAAGATGGAATATAGTTTCTTCTTTTGTCAAGCAAGGGGCAGAGTTTTGACTTTGGTCAAACAAGGGACTGTATTTCTTCTTTGGTCAAACAAGGGATAGAGTTTTTCTTTTATCATAAAAGGGACCCGTTTTATCCTATGTCCTCTGACTACCTCTCAAACTCAGATTTTATACTTTCTGTGGCAAGTGATCACTTTTTATACTATTTCATATTAATATGTATTTAAATCATGTGGCTAGATACTTTGCCTACATTGTACCATATGACCATGCTGACCTTCAGTCAAGTTGCATGATTGACCATATTCAACCACAATGGATAGAGAAGATTGCAGAGAAAAGAGTGCCATTATACTCAAATTCCCCTGGCTACTGGTTCCATGTAAGCCAATAGTGTCTCATTTTGCTCGGGGAGATGGGCACTATCATGAAATATCCAGCATAGCATTCTGTGATCTATATCTTGGAACCAACAAAATGACAATGTGAGCAAACAATAAATTGTTTACTATTTTTAAATGTACTTTCCTTTTAGCTAGTTAAGTATAGATTTGAAACACTTTCATCTTTTATGCTTTATTACCTCATAGTCAGTTGAGAAATTGTTGAGATTATCTGTTCTTATGAGTTAAGCAAAAATATGTGATCTTGATATAGTTTAAAATTTTCCACTCTGTAGTGTTTTTCCCATAGTTGCAACACTGAAAGCCTATTGCTACTATGTTATGCAAATGTTATGTTGAGCTCCATTCTTTAGTTCTGCCATATAAGACCTTTATGACTAGTATATATCATGCTACTTCCATAGAGTCAAATCACTCACATTTCCCCTGTATTTCAATTGTAAGAAAAAAATTCACTTAATTTTTCCTGAAAACTTCAACTTTGTTGAACAGACCTCCCACATGGATGCTTCCCTGAATACTACAATCTTAATTTCTTCATGTTAATGGTTAATTGTGATATAACATCCTTTTCCTCATAATCTTCAGTATCTATCACTTCTTCTCTCACACATATCACACACCTTATTCATCATAAACATTTTAAAATTAACCCTCTACATTGACTGGATCTCAGAATTTTCAATATTTAGATTTTCTTGATTAACAATGTTTTTTTTTATTGATTTATTTGTTTTTTATGGGTTATCAACCATTTTTAGGTTATTTAAAACGAAAACATATTTTGGGATTGTAAGAATTTTTTTTTTGAGATATTAATGCTTTTCTGATACAAGTTTTACTATTTAACCCCTATCTGGAAGGAAAAAAGGGTGGATTCATAACTTTCCCAAGAGTATTTGCACATAGGTGAATACAATGAACCTGACTGGAATTTGAACTCAACACTGATTTCTCATGCTAGACTTCATCTATTACACCACCTGTACATCCAAGCTTACAGCACCTGGAATTTCCCAGTGGTCACCAATCCATGTACTGACCAGGATCAGTGTTGCTTAACTTTGGTGATCATATGAGAGCCAGCATTTGAACATGTGGCATTACATGAAAAATGATCTCCAGAAAGACACTTATGAAACTGATGAATTTTACGACAAACACAAGTGAAAATTGCATACAAGTGTTTCTTCTTCTTCTTCTATGTGCTATGTTCCTTCAGGACATAGGCAATCATGGCTCTCCACAATCTCCTGTTTTTGTTGCTCTTAATGAATTTTGTCTTGTTATCTCCACTAAACCTTATTCTGACATCCATTTTCTAGAAATTTATGTGTTGTTTTCCTCTTCCCTTCATGCATTTAATCTCTCCTGTGAGTATTAACTTTTCCAAGACCTCTTTCCTCATTATATTCCCTATCTCTTTCTGATAATTATAAGTGTCCTTTTTGTTTCCATTTTATTTAAAATTTTGGCATCTCTTGTATACTTGCTTCATGGTATTCTTAGCATCCTTTTCTCTGAAACTTCATCATTAGTCACATGTTCAGTCCATGGTATTTTCAGCATCCTCCTGTAGAGCCACATTTCTGCTGCCTCAAGTCTCTTCTTCATCAGTGAGGAGATTGTCCAACATTCACTGCCATATAATATTATATATATGATAGTGAATGCTGGACCACCAATGGTAGATGAATGACTTGAGTCAAAAGAAATATGGTTTTACAGAAGTATAGTGAGAATAGTATGAACTGAAAATGTGAGCAACAAGGAAGTTTTAGAGAAAATGCAAATAGAAAAAAGACACTTAAACTACAGGTGCTTCATTGCATTTCTTTAAAAACAACTTAAAATGAGACATTTTTGTATTTTTTTAAAGTAAAAGATAAAATCTTCAAGCACTGAAAAATCTCACTCTCACTCTTTGAGTATTCTCTTCAAATGCTCTTATCCGATTCAACCCATACTAATACAATGGGAGAAAGCTCAGGAGATTGTGGTCGCCAAATTATAATTTTAAAAATTTTCTTCCATTTTTTTATACTCAAGATAATTCAGAATTCATTTTCATTTGTAACAAAATCTTTCTGTTTTTGAATACTTTGCTTAGCTTTTGTAATGTTTCTTTTGCTATTCCAATGCCTCTTCAGATTTCAGGGTTGTATGTTTCGTCCTCTGTTAAAAAACCTCCCAGATATCTAAGTTGTTGTATTAACAAATATTTATTAGTTATAAATGATCCATTATATGTTATTTTTAAAGCTCCACCCAAGATGTAAATAATATGCTTTCCTAAGTTTTTATTCAACTACCTAAAAAAACGTGTTTTTAATAGTTATTTTGACTTTGTAAAGTTGTGCATTGCACTCTAAAACTAAGTCAACAGGCCTATCATAAAAAAGTAATATAATCGGTCCCAAGTGAGTTTTTTTTTAATCTCATAAGAAGAAAATAAGCATCAGATTAGAAAGAAAAAAAGAAGTCAAGTGTGTTTTTTACCTGAACAAATAAGTTACTTTTTCAACCAATATCAGTCTAAAGCTGGCCATTTTTCTTTTCTTTTGTTTTTACCCAGTGTAATGTCACTGATCTGAAAGGTTATTGATCTAGATCGTAATCTCTCTTTGAGATTATTAACTAAGCTAGTAATCTCTTTATTTTTGGTTCCCTTTGAATGACTGATAGTAGATACACTCCTGAATGAGCCATACACCTTTTAAGCTTGGTAAAAGAGCAAATAAAATATTACACTTATTCTTAGAAAGTTTTTACCTCATAACATAGATTCATCTTCTATGTTGTTTAAACTTCCATTGAATCTTAAACTCTGATCCATTTTTCTTCTGACCAGGAGCAAATTTGAAGTCAGGTGGAATCCAAATTAAAAATAATGCTTGGATAGCTCAATTGGTGATCAAAGGATTGGCTGAAATATTTTTAAGAAAAATTTATTATTATTTGGAAATATTGGAATTTTATCTTTTTTTTTTCTCTAGGTATTTAAAAATGTTTTAATTGTGTTTTATTGAAACACATGTTGAGGAATGGAGCTCACCATGTCAGCACTTAATTAAAAACATCTATTTTAATTGCTAAAGGACAGAATATATGGTTGTCAACAAAAGGGTAGAAACTATTATATGAATTATAAATTGGAGATACCAAAATCAAGCAAGTACAGTAACTTAAATATCTAGGAAGTGTTTAAACAGAGGATGGAAAATGTGACACTAAAATCAGGTGAATTGGGATAATGAAAGATGCCTTCCAAAAGCTAAGCAAAGAGTTAAGAAACAGGAAAATGTCATTAGAAACACAGAAAAGAGTACTGAACTGTTATGTAATACCAATCCTCCTATATGATAGTGAATCATCTCCTTATAGATGAATTAGAGACTTGAGTCAAAGGAAATGTAGTTTTACAGAAGGATAGTGAGAATAGTATGAACTGAAAATGTGAGCAACAAGGAAGTTTTAGAAAAAAATGAAAATAAAAAGACACTTAAACTACAGGTAAAATTTTGGTACCCTCTGCATTTAAAAAAAAAATAACTTAAAATGAGATATTTTTGTATTTTTCTAAAAAAAAAGTTAAAATCTTCAAGCACTGAAAAATCTCTTTGAGTATTCTCTTCAAACTCTCCTATTCAATTTATCTCACACTAATTCAGTTGGAGAGAGATCAGAAGATTGATTTGGCCATATTAACATTTCCAAAATTTTGTTTCTTTTTTTGATTCAAGGTAATTTTGACATAATTTAGAAGAGTGTTTTGTTGAAAGGTAATTTTTTTTTTAATTATACATAAAGCAAATAGTATAGCATAACTTTGCAAAATCAAATGATATTGTTCTTATTTCATGATTCCCTTGACATGAAAACCAGGAGTGTTTTGGAGTTTTGGAGGAGTGAAGACTCCAGTCCTCTCTCTTCCTCAAAACACTCCTGGTTTTCTTCTCGCATATAGTCTCTGCTTACTAGCAAAATATTCAAATTTGAACTCATCTCTTGTCCAAAATACATTTTGCCACTCTTTTAGTTTCCATTTCTTATGTTTTTTTTTTGCTTATTCACCTTTGCTAACAGAGGTTTCTTGATGACTATGCACTCACTGTGACCAGCTGATTAATTTTTCACAGTTGAGAGCAACAATGAAAATTACTTCAAAATTAAAAAATAAATTCCAAAAATTTGAAAATTCAGTCGTAATGGCACAATCTTTTTTTTTTCTTTAAGCAGAAACAACTACATATGTTTTGTTAAATCATTAGTCAGTTCTGAGTCAGCATAGAGAACCTGTATTAACATTTAACTTACTTGAAAATTTTGGTAATGTAATGGAATAACCTGTCACCCACATGAGTAACTATACTATTAGTAGTAACTACCTATAAGTATCTGTAAGTTAACAGACTACAGAGTCTAGCTGGGATCTGTTGAGTACAACTCAGACTTATGTGAAAACTACCAACCTTCCAATAGTAGCACTCACTACTGGATTGAATTGCAGTGACCTTGTGCATAACCGTTACCTTTATTCTTATTGTACTGTTTTTTATGATAAACCTTTACTTATATTATCGACCTTGCTTTTCAAGTATATATTCCTATTAGCACAAAATATAACATTTGGCAATCTCAAAAATCTACTGGGGGGTGAGGGGTAATAGTGAAAACAAAATATAATGTTTCTCATACAAAATATTCATAATTTAGCAAAATGTATTTTGGACAGATGAAACCAAATTCAGATTTTTTGGTTGTAATGGAAGTTTGAAGAAAGACTGAAGAATAAAAGCAAATTCACTTTAGTTACTCAAATTCTATCTTTTACTTCAAAGAAATACAAAAATATCACATTTAAGGTGTTTTTGAAAGAAATGGAGGGTGGCCCCAAACTTTTTGCCTGCAGTGAATACTTAGTATTAAAAAGAGGCAGTTTAAATTTGTAGGGCACATAATGAGGAAAGAGGGATTAGAAAATATGACACACACAGGATATATTGAAGGCAACAGGGGCAGAGAAAAGCAGGACATACCCTACCTAACAATCTTGTGTAAATTGTTGGCAGAACAGGGATTAGGAGACATAACAAAAATGGTAATGGTAACATTAGCCATTTCCCTATAAGGAATCATTTGGCATTCTTTGTTCAAGCAGCCGGAACTGCTTTTGGTTGAAATTTATAAAATCTTTCCCTTACAACATTTTTTTTAGGAAAAATGTCTCTCAAGTCCAGTAGCTGTTATTGCCTTTTTCAGTATTGATGATGGTTTCCTTTCTAACCTTTTATTTGAAGTAGTGTGGAATGCTAATATCTTGATTATGTCTTTATTTTCTCTTTATATGTGATATCCATTTCAATTGTTGCTGCTCTTAGAAATCCTCGAGTGATTTGGTTTCTGTTATTTGATACAGTTCTTTATTTATGATTTTGTAACATCAGTTCACAATTTTCAAAGAAGGAATATCTTTGCCAAGACTCTCAGACTTTACTCACACAAAGACTTTTTTTCACCATTGATCTGAGAAAGCAGTTGCAAAGAGCTGACAGTTTAGATATTTCTGAATATGTCTGGCAATAGGCATGATATGCATATGAAAGTCTTCAATCTGATGAGTTTATTTAAGAACATGACTCAAGTTTTGTGGTTGATGTTTTGTTTTGTAGCAATTTGTGGTGTTCAGAAAAATAACTCTGGCACAACCTATTCTATGTTCAATTTCTATTTCTCTTATACTAAATTTGTTATAAGTGATCCATACATCAAGGTATGTGATGTGTTTTGTATTTATTAATATCACATTCTGAATTTTTATGATGAATTCAGGGTAAGTGCCATATCATGTTTTGGAAAGGTTTATCTTGAGTCCCATTTTCTTGAAACACTTTTCTGTTCAAGATGATTCAGATCCCAACTATGAACACCTATATCATCAGTATATAATCCGTCATCATCAGTACATTGAATTCAGAGGGGGAAAGCAGCATCAGTGTCTTCTATTGGTAGATTCATTTGGGATGCAGTACGGAATATTCAAATTGTCAGTTCACATATTGTTAAATCTATGTTTGTATATGAACAGGGCAT